ATGTGATGGGCCTTGAGTTGGGAACACTGACACTAACAACAGTGACTTTGAATTCCATCATGGCCAGTTTATTCTCCTTTCCCCACCCTTGAATCAGGTTTGGACAGTGAATTCAAAATGTTCTTTCCCTCCCTTCTCTCTTCATCCTGTGGATATGGTTTCCTCTTCAGATCCCTTCTGGCTACAATATAAAGGATACTCCTTATAAGCCAAGGGAATTTCTAGCTACTAGATCATGAGACCCCTTGTTGAGCCTTCATGGCGGGGTACTAGTATATGAGTCCCAGCACTTAGCCTTCATGGCAAGGGCCTGATGAACAGAGATTTTAGACTCTCTTTAACCTGTGAGCTTCAGTACCTTCCCACGAGGACTCAGACCATTAAATTCTACAGCCGGCCTATGCTGGTCGTATTTCCAGGACTGATGCTCTAGGAGAACAGATGGGCTCTGCCAGGATCACATCCCACATCTTGATTTATGGAAAGGCTTTGCCAGATGGACTATCATGACAGATTCAGACAAGAAATCACCTTGCTAGCATCCGCTAGAGAGTTGAGTTCAATGTCTTGCCTTTTGAACTAAAAAATGCTCTCTCTGCCTGCGGTGACTGGTTTAATGATCTGTGGAGGAGCTCAGGGGGTGTCTGCCTTCACCTTCACTGATGGGTGGTCTGCTTTATTTAGCTTTATTTAGCTAAGGTGTAGGTGAACATGCCTCACAGGCTCTGCTGCTTCTGGATACAGCTTTCAAGCTGACATGGGATACAGTTTTCTAAATGCCAAGTCTGGCTTTGTTGCCCTAAATCCCTGCCTACCCTCTGCTTGGAAAGTGCCTCTCCTATTCTGTTGACACATGAGTGCCCATTCCTCCTCTTGCTTTATCTGATAACTCAGGTGGTCTCTCCTCTGTGGGCCTAGCCACCTCCTGCTGGAGGACTGACCACACTGTACTCCATGGGAAACACCTATTTGTCTCCCTGACCAGAACGCACCAGGCAGATAAATAAACGTCTAGCTCACGTCTGCAACCAAAAAGCCCGCCACATTCCAGATTGGTACTAAACACCATCTCTACCTACATGCAGGAGGGGGTCACCTTTCTCCTTCATCCAGAATGTTGCCCTGGTATTGCCCTGTGGTATTCACAGAGTATGGGATTCTTGAGGGCTGTAGTACCTGTGATGAACAGCAGATAAGCCTTTGGTCGGACACAAGTTTATCATCTCTTTCAGGATCAGGAATGGGTTTCTTGTTGCCTCTGTTGGAGCCACCAACTCCTGGTCTGAAAAACCCCCCAAGGGTCAAGGAGTTTGAGAATAAAGATGCCACTTTTGATTCCTTTTTTGGCTTCAGAAGCCCCAGATATTTTGTAGCTTCTGTCTTGGCAAGTCCTGCTTCAGGTACAAAAGATGAAGCCCCATAAAGATAGGTAGATAAAGGGAGCCCCCTTAGCAGTGTGGCCCCAGGGTGGAGCTGGTTGCTGCCCATAAGAGCATCTGGCATCTATCTGCCCTTATGTTAGTTCTAGCTATGGACATTTGGCCATTTCACCTCTTGGACTGGCCCATAAACCATGGGATTGCTTGAGATTTTATAGAACTCACATAGAGCTGTGGTCATTAAGATCAATAGGGCATCTTCCTGTAGAGAAGGATATGGAAGACTAAGCAGTAAACACTGAACAGACACACTAGACACATCTGTGAAAAGGATGCTTTACAAATGTGGCTCATGGGTCTTGTGTGACTCCTGGGTACCAACTTCTTTATTTTAGTTCTTTCAGAATTGTAATGTGTGATCAGTTTCCTTCAGGCCAAGGAAACCACACAAATTGGACCTGGATAGAGATGGGAGTTAACAGTGGAGGGAGAGGGAGGGTGGCTTTGAACTTAATCTACTTGGAATAATGGTAAGGAGACCTGAGAGAGGAAAGGAGAAGAAAGCTGTGAGTTGTCTGGAGATGCTTAAACTGGAAGGCTGGCTGCAGGAGAACTTCCTGTGCCTGGGAATGGTGAATTCACTTAAGTACAGGTTTAGCCATAGACATTAGCATGGTACTTGGCAGGAGCATAAATATGCTTCTATCTTCCCTGTGTCTCTCCTTCCCAGAATGCGATTAGGGTTTTCAGCGTGCTTGAGGGTAGTGATGAGGTCTCGCTCTTGTTCTGTAATTCCTAATCAAAATTGCCTAGTCCAGAGCTGAGGATGTGGCATGGTTATTAGTGTGCATACCTAGGATGCAGGAAAATCTGAGTTGGATGCTCCCTACTATACAGTTTGGCTGTGATGGTTTGTTTATATCTGCATTCCCAGCACTCAGGAGGTAGAAATAAGACTATCAGAAGTTCATGGTCATCCTTAGCTCCATGGAGAGCTTGAGGCCAGCCTGTCTCAGAAAAGAAAACAAGTGTACCTTGTAGGCAAACAGTGAATAAATACAAAATGGACAACCAGCCCCCACATAATAATATCATTAAAATAAAAGGCTGCTCAGAAAAGCAAACAAAAATGGCATTCATGTTGTTACCATCTCTGCCCACCCCCTCCAAATACCCAACAAATCTTTCTGGACATATCTTGTTAGAAAACAATAATTTTCTGTGAACATTATCCTACCTGGTTTATTTTTCTACCTTAACATTGTGCTGTGGATCTCTGTCACATCAGTAAATACAGACCTACATCCTTTCAAAATAGTATTGCATTATACAGATGAGCCATTTTTGAATCCGTCTTTGTTAATGGACATTTAGGTCATTGCCAATTCAAAGCTATCAACAATGAGATGTAGCATCCCCGCCATGTGCCTTTGAGATAGGCATCCTGCTGTGGTTTTATTACCCAGCCTAGGCAGTGTGAAGATGACAAAGGCCGACATCCTCCTCTCCCTAGCACTGCCCGCATGCTTATTGTATTCTAATTCATCTGTTATGTGCTTTTTTGTGTTTCCACATCCCCCTCCTCCTACACAGTCCTCTCAGGCTTTGTGGTTAGGCGTGGAGTACACTGTGCTTTCTCATTAATAACATGTGCATGGTGTAGATTGCTTCTGCAAGTCTCTGGCAGTCAGCAGTATTAGCCTCTGGTTCAGAACAGCTGGAGAGAAGCCTACTTTGCCTGTTTCATTCCAGTTCTTTTTATAACAGTGAAGTTCCAGTGTGCATTGAGTTTACTTAACAAGAGATGGTGAACATGTCTAGCCGCTCCCCTTTAAAATACTTTTCACACTTTTGGGAAGCTGACTTAACTAACTTAAGAGAACTGACTGACATCCCAGAGGATTTCAATTCCCTGCACCCACATGGCAGCTCACAGCCATCTGTAACCTCAGTTCTGGGGGACCCAACATTCTCTTCTAGCCTCCTTGTGCACACATGGTGCAGACTTGTGTGCAGCATGCAAGCAGAATGCCCATACATATAAAATAAAATCCTTTTGGAAGTCATACTTAATATTTCTCAGTCCAGTAAGAACATGCTGGGTACCACACCTGGAACCTCTCACAGGAAGCACAGAATCCATCAGCCACATGGCCCAGAGTACAGATAGCCCCTGATTCACCATAATTCAGCTTTCTGATGGTATGAGAATGATAAGCAGTCAGTAGAGACCAGACCTCAGGTTTCGATTTTTGGCCTTTCCTGTATTTGATTGTTAGTGCTGTTCTGTCTCAGGATCCCAGGCACAACCGTGCAATCACAGGCATGAACGAATAACACTCCGTGCCCTGCTGTATAGCTAAGCAGGATACACAGGCCAGAGGGAGAAAATTCATGTTTAATTCACAGTGTTTCTCTTTAGGATGGATTTATCTGGATGTTATGCTTCTATAGTATACCCATATGTAGCTTTTTGTAGAAATTAGGCTACTGAGCATATGTCAACAATTTTGATATAAATGTTTATATGAGGGAAATGGTTTTGTAACCTCCTAAGGCAGATAAAACTGAAGTATGTTTTATGGTCAATATGAGGAACAATTAAAATGTCTGTACTGGCCATGGCTGAAACATCATCTGCTTCTCTTTCTATCACTGGTGGAGGGCAGGAATGTAAAAGAGTGAACTTCCTTTCCCTAATTTCAGAGTTGAGGGAGTCAGAACCACAAGGCTGGGGTGTCATCAGAGCTTAGCACAGGTGTTTACACTCCTGCTAGACTGGTTGAGACCCAGAGCCAGCAGGAAGACCAGCAATGTAATTTGTTATCAGTTACCTCAGCAACCCAGAATTTTAAAGGGACTTTGCAGGTCAAGTTTTTAGGGGTCTTAGAGCTTTTTGGACTCTTTTTAGAAGCTTGGACAAAGTCTGGCTGTAAGAAAAATGCACTTACATGTGCAAGCACATCATTTGTTTTTTGTTTACATGTGTGTATGCATGTTTGCATGTGTGTGGGCACGTGGGCACATAGTGCTTTGCCACCTCATTGAGGCAGGGTCTTCCAATGAAACCCAGAGCTCGCTGCTACTGCTAATCTCATCACCTAGCTTGCTCCGGGAATCCTCTCTCTGCCTTCCTACACTGGAATTGCAGGCAACCACCACACCTACCTGGCTTTTACATTGGTTCTGGGGATCCAAACTCCTATCCCTAGAGCAAGCGCTTTAAGTGTTTGTTTTTATTTTATGTGTATGGGTGTTTTGCCTGAATATGTATGTCATGCACCATATGAGTACAGTGCCCACAGAGGGCAGAAGAGGGGGCTGCATCCCCTCGAATTGGATTTACAGGTAGTTGTGAGCCACCATGTGAGTGCTGGAAAATCTAACCTGGGTTCTCAGGAAGAACAGCCAATGTCCTTAACCACTGAGCCACCTCTCCTCGGTGAGCGAAGAATTCTTAATAGCATACCTAGCAGTTTGCAGATCTCCAGTGAGGCATTCAAGATCTGACTCAATCTTGGGTCTCTGTGAGTGGAATTGCCTAGGTGTGTAATGGAGGGGAGCTCTAGGGACACATACTTAGTTCCTAAAGAAACATTTTTTTTTTTTTTTTTCTTTCAGCACTGGCTGGACCATTCGAAACCCATAAAGAAACAGATGAAAGGTAAGGCAGAGACTCCAGTGTATTCATGTCTTCTTTTTAAAACAAACAGAAAAGCTGTCAGTAAACTCCTTTGTCAAGATTTTTGAGATCGTTTGATTTGTAAATAGATCTGCTGTTAAATGGATGATTTTTGCTTCCTTTAAACTGGCCAGAGAGTAGAGCTTTAAAACTGAATGGATATTTTGGGTAGACACTGAATCCACCTGAGCTCTCATTTCACATGAGACACCCCTGCCAATGAGAGCTGACTAATGTACTATTCAGAAACCTGACACCCACTTCACTCATGTCCAAGTGAGTTTCACAGCACATTCAGAATGGAGAGTAGGAAGCAGGAAGTCTCCAACCCTCTCCTCACAGGTGTGGTAACCATGTTTCTCTAATGCTGCCTATGCTTAGATCATTTGGAAATTATATTTTCTTAAAAATATGTTGCTGTTTATGCGTCATCTCTTCCAGCCCACTTTGTACTTTGTAAAACATGGGTGCCGGTTTGGAGTAACCCCATCAGAGATAGTGAAATGTCAGCTCTGTTTACCTACCCAGACTCTCAGGGTTTTCTACCAGAGTGAAGTTCCCAGCTAAACCATCCCGATCAACCTAAAAGTTTGGTCCCATTTTTCAAACTCCACATGGAACAGTGAACTTGCTGTCAATTTGATGAGTTCCCTTTTGTCTGATGGGAGACGAACAACTTTACCTTTCTGTCTCCAAATGTTTAGTTGGACCTGCCTATGCCTTGCACTTTCGAGTCAAATACTATTCTTCAGAACCAAACAACCTTCGGGAGGAATTTACAAGGTAGGACACCCCACAGATGATTCTGTCCAGTAGCCCCCACCTCAGTCGGGGGTAGGGGGGTGGGTTGGTGGAGTGGGGTGGGGGGGATGCGAGGTGGGGGTGTGGTAGGGGGCTCACTTCCTTTTCAGTCCTCTGTGTGTCTATGTAGACATTACTAGCACTTTACCCAGGCTTCTCTACTCTGTTGAAAACCCACCAGTATGCTTAATTTGATATTTTGTATAGGAATCAAATTAGATGGATTTTCTTGGCCTTTGGGAAAATGATAGGTTCATCTATGGCATTTTGTCTTTGTCTCCATTGCAAAAACCAAAGGGAAATATTGGGAGAAGACTTTTTAATTAGCAATAGCTCTTTTTTTCCCCTTCCTTCCTTCCTTCCTTCCTTCCTTCCTTCCTTCCTTCCTTCCTTCCTTCCTTTTTATGTTTCAGAACATTCTGATTGTTCCAACAGAAGGAACCCTTCACTTCATATAAGCAGCTCTGTCACCACAGATTTTGTTAGGACCCTCTTATCTCTCTCAGGTCCACTAGATAGTTTTATGTTGTGAGTGCCTGTATTTATCTCTTGAATTTCAGAAACAATGGAAGAAAAGGAGAATGTAAATAGGGATTGGAGTGTGGAGCTTCCAACTTCCATTTGGGCATGTAATGCTTTATCTGGTTCTTGATATCACCAGAGTGTCCTGTCACTGGGTTTGTGTGTGATGCAGTGTAGTAGTGACCTGTACATTGATGGGTGGTCTGCCTTGGTGGTCAGCAACTAGTTGAGGACCACCAAAGTGACATTTGGAAAGCTAGCACTAGTGCCTACGGCAAGGGCCTTAGGGACACCATGCTCTTGTTGGTGTGAATACACATGTCAGTGCCCTAAATTTCAGAAGTGGAAATTCAGCTATGGTTACGGGCCTATTTGGAAGCAGAACTTTCTGGAATGAGGTGGAACCTTCAACCTCCCTGCCTATTTTGATTTCTGTAGTATATAGCTGTTCTACAGAAAAGGATAACCCACATGGCTTCCAAGGTTCAACTCATTAAGCAACTGCAGTATTTCTCTTTGGAGGTCTTTATGAAATGTGTTACCCATAGATGTCACCAAAGCTATTCATTTTTAATCCAGGTATGTGAATCAGAAACACTGGGAAGTTTTTGGACAAATAGGATTCCTGGGGACCACTCTTGAGTGTAGGATTCTGACTCCATAGTCCTGAAGTAGAGTGTGGGAGGCTTTGATTGCTACAAAGTGGTTCAGGTGCCCACATCTTCCTTGAAAGAAAAAAACTTTTACTTAAGACTAAGGCATTTACTTTTTAGCTTGGTAAGCCCCCTGCTTGTGTTTTTTTTTTTTTTTGCTTCTTTTCTTCTTGTTTCTTATTATCCCTGTAATTATCTGTAGTGTAATTATAGGATTTTTCGTGTGTGTGTGTGTGTGTGCACGCATGTGGCTTATGTGTGTGTTTGATTTGTTTGTTTTAAATACAGAGTAGGCAGTTAAACTGCACCAGAGAGAAAAGCTGGAGTGGTTTCAAGCAGACTCTGCAGTCAGTTGCAGACTTTTGAGAGAGTTCTGGAATCTGCTAGGTATAGCTGGCCAGGTGCCAGCACAGTGTTTCCCTCCTGCCTGTTTCCTTGGATGCATTGCTTGCCTGCGTGTGAGTCCTGTGTGCCTGCTGGGCTAGTTTCTTCTGCACCAAAGCCATCATGCCAGTCACATCAGACCGCTTGGTGTTGCATCCATGCTCCATCATACAAGTATCTTGCAAACTCCCCACATGCATTTCCCTGCAGGCCCAGTGAGGCCTGGAATGCCTTTCCACAAGCTCAGAAGGAGGCTCCTCCCTCCTCATTTGTTTGAACTCTCCTTTAACAGTGCAGAATGCCAGGGAATGGGCAGGGAGGGATTTGCCATGGGAGGCTGGGGATCTGAGGTGGCTGGGAAAGGCAAGGGTTCCCCTCTGTTGACTTTTGTATATGTTTGTCAGGTACCTGTTTGTTTTACAACTCAGGCATGACATTCTTTCTGGAAAGTAAGTATGCTTTTGTTCTAACTCTTAACCCAGCATAGAGCATAGTATAACTCAATAATTTACTGTTTTAATTTTTAGCCTTTATCCTCTTTACCAGATTCAAAAAAAAAAAAAAAAAAAAACAAGTACACCAGGTCTTTTCAAGTGAGTCAGATACTTGAACTGCTGTCATTTTTGTCTTGTTTTAAAATGATTTCTATATGGCTTGGAGCATTTCCAAGAGCATTGAGTTTCTTGAATGATGTGTATTTGGGAACCACTTTCTCCCTGTCACATCACTGGCCCATTCATACTGGCTTCTGTTGTATTTGCAAGCAACGCCCACTGTCAACATGTATACATGTACAAGTATCCATGCAGTTTAAAAAGTCTCACTTGCCACCGTCACACCGAAGCAGTGTGAAGAGGGCCTTACCTGACCCTGCCGTAGACTCTTCCTCTCGTTGCCCTCCCCATCTTTTTATTTAAACTCAAGGCATTGGGCTTATAGTGAGATCGTTAGCAAAACACAGTATCATTTTATCACAAAACGACATGTGGTTGGTTTTGAGGGAGCATTCGTAGCAAAAGAAAGCTGACAAGATGGCTCAGCAGGTAAAGGCTCTTGCACCCATTGCACCCGAGCCAAACAACCGACTTTGATCTCCGGGACCTGAAAGTGTGTTCTGACCTCCCTATACTACTATGGCATATTCAGTCTGCCCTGACATCTGAGCATGTGTGCACAGGTGTACACACACACACACACACACACACACACACACACACAATCTTATCTATATGAATAAATAAATATACAGAATATTTTTTAAAGTTAGATTTCATCATTTTCCAGTAAGAGTTACTAAGTATTTTGTAGTGCATTAAAAAAAATAAAAATAAAAACAAAACTGAGGCTCTATTAAGACTAAGAAGCAGTACCTGATGTTACTAATAGGAATATCTTCTGATCTGAATATAATCTGAAGGAAATTTATTGGGTAATTTCTGCCATTTTTAATGGTCCACACATCTAATCACAGAGCTGAGGAGGCAGAGGCTGGTAGATCTGAGTGAGTCTGAGGCCGGTCTGGTCTATACCTAGTGAGTTCCAAGCCAGCCTACCTAGTAAGACCCTATCTCAAATAACAAAACCAAATATAAGTCAATTATAGAAATAAAATTTAAATGTAGTAAATAAGTAAAATGTAATTTCCATGTTTGCAATAGAAAATGTAAAAATTGCAGTGGCAGGTAGGCAACAGAATGAGTAGACTGTACAGTGTATACATTGGCCTTACTCAGCCATGCAGTACAGAATCTGGTTGGTGTGTGTGCTGAGTATGTGTGTATTTTTATCGCTGTTGACTCTGTGCTTATCATAGTGAAGACCCTGTCAATGTAGAACTTGTCTCCAGTTTGGAAAACATTGATGACAGTACTTCATATATGTCTAGTGCTTTGCAGTTTATCTCTACTCCCACCCAACTTGTTATCTGACCAAAACAGTGTTCTGAGCCCAGCACTGCCACCTGTCTACCGGAAGACCTCGGGCGAGATGCTGAAGACTAACTCCCTCATCTGGAAAATGAGAAATGGGGTGGGGAGCACTGGCCACACCCATCCTAAGAGTATACAGGCTATACATTGACTCAACTATATCCTATATTTGAGTAGACCTTAGGAACTATGAAGTGCTATGCTAATGTCCATTGTGACAGTTTTCCTAACTAACTTTGGAATTTGAATTATGAGAAACATCACTGTGTTTGCAGTAGCAGTCTGTGGTCCTGCCTCAGTTGGACCTGTTAGAATGCTGAGCACGTCTAGTGGTCCTGGAAACACCATACATGGTGTTGGTGTGCTTATTTTAGCATCTTAACTTTGTTTCGAGGGAGAGTGAAGGCAGCTTGAAAAGACTCATGGACTGTCTCGAGAAAACAAGTGTAAGATAACAAGACAAAGGACGGGTTTTCGTTGTTTTCTAAACATCCTGAGTTCTCTTCAAACTCAGCAGAAGTGATAGATGGTAAATGGTAGATGGTTGATAGAACGTGTACTTGGGTAATCTCTTCATATGTGGCGAACTGCCCTGGGACATTTGTGATGTATGTTAGTTTGTGTTCTCTCACAAACTCGCTAGCATCAGAAGTCTTGTGTAGACACCGCTGCCTTTTTACTGACATGTGTTACATGGTTCCAGATGTAGAGCTTCCTATTAGTGTTCATTTCTTTTTCTTTTCTTTCTTTTCCCAAGACTGAAATGCCCCTATGAAACGGCCGTGGAACTAGCTGCTCTCTGTCTGCAAGGTACATTCATCTTTAACATCTTAAAGTTACTGCTTTTGTTTCAATAAGGGGGGCTCTCCCAGGTGCCAGGCCTGGTGTCCTGCTTTCTCCCAGGATGTAAACTAAGGTCTTGTGACCTCAGTCCCCAGAGCTTGCAGTCTGGTGAGGGAAGCACATGGAGCGTATGGCAGTTTTTCTAACAACAGAGATAGACAGGAGGCTTGGGAGAGGGGGCCAAGCAGGGACGTGGAGAGGAAGGTGGCTGGGAGAACCAAGATGGAAGTGTGGCAAGGAGGGAGCTCCAGCTCTTGCTCGGTGTGCACATGGCCCAGGGTTCCATCCTTAGTGTGTCAAGTCTGGGGTGGGGCTTTGTATATTAAGGGACTAATACAGATACAGGTTGATTGAGTTTTGAACTCCACATCAAACCAAATTTGGTAATGCATACCAGTAATCCCATCACTTAAGAGGCAGTGGTAAGAGAATCAGAAGTTCAAGGTCACCCTTAGCTGGATACAAGCCTGGATTACATGAGGCCCTGTTTCAGAAAAACAAAACAAAAAACAAGCAAGTAAACAGTGAAGTCACAGAGCTAGTAATCACGGTGTGAAGTTCAAGAAACTGGACTGGCGAAGAGCCTTTGGCCCACTTAAAAAAATATGAGCTTGGTGGGGTCAGCAGCAATTCTCTGCATGTTCTTAAGGAGGCAGACCTGTGGGTGGTGGCTTTTTTGGAAATGCCACACTGGCTAGCTGTGTGAAAAGAAGGAATTGGAGTGGGGCCGATACACGGGCTGGGGAAGGGCTGTTACCGTAACAGAGATAGTAAGAAACCGAGCAGGGCAGGTGGGTGTGTACATAGTGAATGCAGCCATGGCTGGATTCCCTGATGTGAGAAAGGAGTTGGGGATGACTCAGGCTGCTGCTGAGGGTAGGTGGCGGCATCGATGAGTAAGTAGTGGGAAAGGTAGCTCCTGTGGAGTACGCGCCTGTTAGGACCTTGGCCAAGAGGTGCTGAAGTCACCAGCATGCAAGAGGGAACTGGGTGGCAGAGGTCTGTCTGCAGGCCGGTCCACATTCACTGTTCATCTGTGGGAGGTGCTGGTGGATCTTCATTTAAGATGCATGAGAAACACTTGCTTAGTTATCCAGCACTAATTAAGAGAATGGGATTTCATTATCATGTGGTTAGCACAGTGCATTTTAATTTAGTGTGTATGCATGCACGCGTGCACACGCTCTTGAACAGAGAACAACTTGGAGAAGTTGGTTTTTACTTCTTTCACCATGTGGGTCATGGGGCTCAAACTCAAGTCTTCAGGCTTCGTGGCAAGCGCCTTTATCTGCTGAGGCATCTCACCAGCCCTACTTAGGATTTTCAGTCATTGGGTGTTGTCACATTTATACATGTAAAGATGTTTTGTTGAGAATGGGTGTATTCCCATCCCTGAATACTTTGTTCTTAGTTCCTCCTAACAGGTGCTCAGTAAGTGCAGAGTGAATAGAGGGCTGAGTTGGAGGAACTCTCAGTATAGACGGAAAGCACTGGCAGTAATGGTTAGAGCTGCTATCTAGAACCGACTGTGTGAAACACGGAGCCACATGCTTCCTCTCCCCATGTAGTCTGATGCAGTAGGCCACCTCCTAGTGAGCACCATGGTGTAGGTAGAATTGGGGACATGGCAGAGGCTCCTGGCTCCTTGTGTTGGCCAGATGTGATTTTTACCAGCATAGACAGTGCCCTTCATCTACACTGGTCCCCGAGCTGCAAGATGCCTAGTCAGGCTTGGCAGCCCCAAAGGATCTGTCAGGGTAGTGTTAATGAAAGGAAAGCACCCAGGCACCCATGTCAGGCCTGGGGCCATTAATCACTGCAGAAGCTTCCTCCTAAGGCTATTGGCACAGTGTTTGAAGCTTGTCCTGTTGTCCCGAGTGATTAGAGGAGGAGGCACACCTCTGCCCTCACTGGTCCAGCTGTGGTGAGACTGAAAACAGCATAGAGCCACCCATGAGCCTTTCTTGGAGAAACTGCCCGTATCTGTAGGATAATTTAAGGCACAATCATAGGTCAGGTACAAATAAATACTTGGAAGACTGATGAGGGACACACTTAGGGAAGCCCTTATCACATTGTCATTCTTTTCCCGGTGGCCTCACCTGCTTTCCTCTGGAGCCCAGCACTGTGATTAATTACTAGCTCTGTCAGTGTGAATAAAATGAAGGGCAGAGTTTCCTTTGGTGGTTGAGCCTTTAAGGTACGTCTTACTGTTACTTTTGAATTAATAGTGACCCCTGAGCTACTGTGGAGGATATGCTCTTTAAAAATCAATCAAATGAAAGGGTAAAAGGAATTTGAATGTGTCTGTTGTATGACAGTATTCCAGTTTTGTTAGTGTTATAGCTCCAATGTCTCAGGTAGAGATCTCAGACTTGGAACAGCTCAGTGATTTGCCCAGGGACACACAGATAGCTACGGCAAGGTTGGAGTTTAGTCTCCCTTTCATCTGAGCCATCTCCCTTACCTTCTGTGGCCTCCATGGGGCCAGAGGCTGGCTGCAGAATTGGGAGTTCTTGGTTTTCCAGCATGTTCTTGGAAGATACTGGTGTCCCAGGTACTGCTCAGGCTAGCTAGCTTCAGTACATCAAAGGCTGGAAGAGACACCGCCCTCTTTCTCATTAGCATCTTTGGCATAATTAATCCCGACAATTTAGGACACCACTAAACACAGGGTCCTATTGAGTCACATTTGCCAGTGGGTCTCTTTCCAGACTATACAAGGCTTAGAGCTTGCCAGAACCTCACTCCGCAGTGATTTCTAGAACTGAGGTCAGTAGCGGTCTTTGGCTTGGGGAAACCCAGCCCACTTCCTTTCTGGCTATACATTGTTTCTAGAACAGAATTTCATGGGTCTACCTTTGCCCAGGGTAAAAGGCTGCTGCATGTCCTGACCCAGACCCCTCCATGTCTTGGTCTAAAGGATATGAAGGATGGCATTCAAGTGGAGAGCTATTTGCCAAGTCACCTCTCTCTGTCAGACGTTGTCTTGTAAAGGCAGAGTCTCCTTGAATTGGGTTGTATTGTCGCCTCTTCATGAACAAGAACTGTTTGTTTAGTGTTTTGAGACTAGGTCTCACTTTGTCTTGCCCAGATCTTGACTGTAAGAGCCTCCTACTATACTGATATACTTGGTCACAAGGACATTTATCCATTCTATAAATCAGATAGAGCCCCTCTCCTGGAAATTGGGCCATGAGATTTTGACCCACAGATAAGATGGTATTGAGTGTGATAAGATAGTATTGAGTGTGTAGTGAGCTGCTGCTGTTCCTGGACGTATGTGGCTTCATCCACTGGTAGATTTGATGTCTGAGACATCATGTTGGGTGGGAATTTGTTAGAAGTACAAATTTGATGGGGTGGGGATGTAACCCAGTTGGTAGAGTGCTTGCCTAGCATGTGTGAAGTTCTGAGTTTCATCCCCAGCCCCACATAAAATCAGGCATAGAGGTGCACTCAAAAGGTGACAGTAGGAGGATCAGAAGTTGAAGGTCACCTACAGTTACCTCCAGTCCTGGTCCTGGGTCCATATCAAGATCAATAAAATCTGGATGTGGGGCCCAGTGATGTTACGTTTCAACGAGCCCACCAAATAATGCTTTTGCATTCCAAGTTCAAAAACAACTATTGTGGATCGGTGCCTTTCCAAGGAAAGTGCACCAGTCCCTAAGGGTCTTGTGAAATGACAGGCAGAGACTGACTTGTTCCTGGATGGGCATGCAAGCCCGCATGGTGGCATCTACACTTGCTAGCATAGAGCCCACATTTATTGTTACCAGGTTAAAGAGGAATCTGGGGGATCCCCTTTTATTCTAAAGTCTGCAGGGGTTACGTGGATTTTCTCATTCATTCATGCTCCAGAGGGATAGGGTCACTGTATCCTTGGGTCCTCTATTTTGTGGTGTGGCAAGAGCAAGAACCGTGCAGTGTACATTGGGCTTTTTGCCGGCAGTTTGCTGTTGCTGTCACTCTTTTTTGTGTCGCCCTCTCCCTTCTCCCCTTCTCTGTTCTGCCTCACTTGCTGCACTTGCTCCTGCAGCTTGCTCAGCACCCCTCGCCGCTCCTTAATCCCTCACTCAGATTCTGCATGCACCAAATGCTTGAGCCATTCTTCTCCGCCCTGCAAACACTAACGTGCTGCTCTGACCTATGCTTAAAGAGAGCCCTGTGCAGAAGATGTTCTCTGACAGATCCTCATTGCCTGCAATCACCTTTTATTGCAAATTTCCACTTCCCAGGGAAATGTGAGCCAGGCCTCCTTAGGTGGAAGAAGCAGTGAGGAGAAAGACAGTAATGACCAAGATGATGGTGTACTTCTTTATTGGGAGGGGGGTTAGAATGACTCCCAGGGATTCTGAGGGAAGCTGATAATGAGAGGGCTCTACCTCAGGGGCACCTGTACTTTCTGATCAAAAAGAATGCCTTTGGATTCAGATGCAGCAATAACCCAAAGTGTTCAGTGTCTTCTGTTTTCCTCCCTTTTATACACTTCACAGCGGAGCTGGGGGAGTGTGAGCTCCCGGAACACACACCAGAGCTTGTGTCTGAGTTTCGGTTCATCCCAAATCAGACAGAAGCCATGGAATTCGATATCTTCCAGAGATGGAAAGAGTACAGGTACCGCAATGCGCCTCTCTCGTGATATGAACCGCGTGTTTATTTGTCCTATGTGTTCATCGGGCCCTTCTGAAAAACTGTTGTGTGACCTTCCACAACACAGTGTGCCCTTTGTCTCACAGAGAGATGCTCCATTAATGGCCAGCTTGTAATGTCTCTCCTGTGTTTCACACCTGTTTCCAGAAGGCCTGTATATCACCTCTCTTCTGAGAAGTGCAAAGGTCAAACCATGCTATTTTCAGTCTCTGAAACACAAAGCTTCTGTCTAATTTGATTGTTCTTACTAGTGACACCCTGGGTGTGGATAAATGCTGTACTTGTAAGGTCCTGTCTGTCCTGAATAGTGGTTCTCAACCTTCCTAATGCTGTGACCCTTTAATACAGTTTCTCATGTTGTGGTGAACCCCCCAACTATAAAATTATTTAGTTGCTACATCATAACTGTAATTTTGCTGCTGTTATGAATTGCAAATATCAGATATGCAGGATATCTGTTGTGTGACCCCCAAAGGGGTCTCCCCACACAGATTGAGGGCCACTATTCTAGAGTAAACCTTACAAATATAGGTGGAGCATCCCTAACTCCAAAGTTCTGAATCTAAAATGTGAAACTTGAACACCAACCTGGTGATACATTTGGAAAATGCACACCAGGCTTTATGGAACAGGCTAAAGTATAATCATAGGAACAGTTTTAAAATACGTATAAAATCCCCTCCAGGACCTTCCAGATTTATGTATCAGATGAATGTGACATAAATGACTTTAATGTTCAGAGTTAGCTCTTACCCTTCAGAGTTTGTCATTGTCTTCACACTAGGATTTGAACATCTGAAAACCATAGATACTTTTGGTCTCACACATTCTGGGTCAGGCGTACTTGTACTTGGCCTATAGCCCTACGGTGAAATGATGAGACCATGTGACTCACAGTTTTTTATATGCAAAAATATGCTCATTACACTGAAAGCCAGCATGGTATTTATGTCTCCCATGTTTCCCTGCTTCTGCCACCCTAATCTAACATACTTGTTTTTGTTTCGCCTGGACCAATAAGGCAGTTTGCCAGTGTTGCACACATGCTTGCATGAGTGCGTGCGCCCGCGCGTGCGCGCACACGCACACACAAACTACATGTTCCTAGTTACTCTTGGACCTGACTTGGTGTGACCTTCTATTGTCCTTCGGTCCTTTGATGACTTTTAAAATTAAAGGTGGCATGAAGTTTGTTATTATATGTTAAGGAAATGTGCAGGTGTACAGTCAACATGCTCTGCTCACTCTCACACATGCAACCTCCCTCCTCCCAGAGGAAGGCCAGGAAGAGCAGTTCCTTTCTTTGCTCACACTCTTTTTTCTTTCTTTCTTTCTTTTTTGATTGTTTGAGACAGGGTTTTTCTGTGTACCCCTGAATATCCTGAAACTCACTCTGTAGACCAGGCTGGCCTCATGGCCTCAAACTCTGCCTGCCTCTGCTTCCTGAGTGCTGGGATTAAAGGTGTGTGTGTACCACCATCGTCTAACATATACTCTTGTTTTCTTAGGTTATCCTAAGAAACACTATTCTGTGGTCTTCCTATTCCGTTAATATGAGGTCCTAGGGGATTGCCTCTCATCCTTATAAACTTGCGCTCTCCATTGCTGTAACTGTTGCATGACTTTCTGTAACAGAGGGGGCTCTTTAGCCCTTGCGGGTATGTGAGGTCCAGTTTACATGTGTGTCTCCTTTGGTTTTTTTTTCCTAAGGGGAAAGAGCCCTGCCCAGGCCGAACTCTCCTATCTCAACAAAGCAAAGTGGCTGGAAATGTATGGGGTGGACATGCACGTTGTCAGGGTAAGAATTCTTTATGTTTGCTGTTTCTGGGGGGGGGGGATGCATAGTGTGCCAACAAAGCAAATTTTGGTGAGGAAATTGTTTGCGTTCTTCTCTGTGACGACCTGTTAGAACCCTCTACCGACTGTCACTTCATTTGTTTGTAGGGAAGAGATGGCTGTGAATATTCTCTTGGACTGACCCCGACAGGCATATTAATCTTTGAAGGAGCTAACAAAATAGGCTTATTCTTTTGGTAATTTAGTTTTGTCTAATATTAAAAATGTCTATTTTGTGTTGGAAAGTCTATGTGATGGATGATTTTGAGGGGCATTTGCAACACCCAGATTCACTTTAAAAAAAAAAAAATCACACCATCCTGTTGTCATTGTGGGTGTGTGGCCGATGCACTGAACCTCTAGTTAATCATGTTTAAATGAATGAATGATGATTTTCTTTTCTTAACCAATCTAAATTTTTATAAGTAGAAAGGAAACTGTTTGATGTGTAGACAGTTTGGCTGTTGTATGCCCTTTTTAAAATGCTCTCTCTCTGACCAGGCCTAAGATCACCAAAATGGACTTTAAAAAGAGTAAACTGACCCTCATAGTAGTGGAGGATGATGACCAGGTAGGCCTTGCTCCCCGGTGTCCTCCTTATTGCCCCCTACCCGCATCCCTGTGGCATACGCCCCCACGAGGACCTTTGCTTCCTCCCTCAGGGGCGTGAGCAGGAGCACACCTTCGTGTTCAGGCTGGACAGCGCGCGCACTTGCAAGCACTTGTGGAAGTGTGCTGTGGAGCACCACGCCTTCTTCCGCCTGCGCACACCCAGCAACAGCAAGTCCACCAGATCGGACTTCATCCGCCTAGGCTCCCGCTTCCGGTTCAGGTTGGCAATTGCTTTTTGGCACCGGCCATGTATTTCAGAGAACATCAACTCCTATTTTTCTGTATGTGAATGTAGCAGTGGATTTGTGTCTGTCCGTAGGGTTGTTTGCTCCACCCACATTTCCTTCTTAAGGTCTGCCCTTTAAGTCCGGTCACGACCTCTTTCGGCTTCCGTCACTTCATTGATACAATGGAAATGATTTGTTTTGGGGTGAAGTGCTTGGTGCCGGGAATGTTTGAGATATTGACAATTTTCTCAGTTTGGAACTGTTTGCATGTTTGATACTTGATATTGCAAATATTTGAGCTTAGGACCCCGAATGGTTTGGATCTGGGGGTGAAGTATGCTCAACATGTAGTAATAAAATTGCCTGGACTACACCTATAGCTAGAATGCTACTGTCCAGTGCAATGGCCACTAGCTACATGAAGCTATTATGGTTGAAAACAATAGGTCCTTGGTGTCAACTGGCCTCATTTCCAGTGTCCAGGGGCAACACGAGGTGTTAATTACCTATGAGTAGGGTAGACACGGCACAAAGGGTCATTCATTGTAGGTGGTTCTGTTGGATTATGCTGCATTAGAACTCATGACCCACTCTTAATCCTAGAGGCAGCCTCAACAAGGCAGATTAAGTATCCCTGGTTCACAAACTATGCAAGGCTCAAACTCTCTGCCTGCCAAATGGATTAGAAGTGTGCTTCTATTTCTTTGTGTACATGTGTATGTGTGGTGGTTTGCATTTCTTCCAGCAGGCGCATACACTTGTACATGTGCAAGCTTTCATAGAGGCCTGAGAGTGACGTAAGTGTCTTCCTCAATTGCTGTCCATCTCATTTTTTGAGACAGAGTCTCTTGCTGAACCTGTAGCTCACTGACTGAACTAGGCTGCTGACCTCCATTTATCTTCACCTACCCAGTGCTAGTACAGATTGCAGAACAACACCCCTGCTATTGACATGGTGCTAAGTCAGGACTTTACTACCTAAACATCTTCCCAGCCCTGGTTCTTAAATTTCTCACCAGTGCTATGTTTCCTTTTACATGACAGTGTCAAGAGATTGGGTAATGATTAAGGATGAGAGTATTGTGTGTGTCTGTGTCTCTATCTGTCTGTCTGTATTTGAATCTGAAAAGAGCCTAAATAATCAGCTTATGCTCACATGTTGTGTGTTTAAGACCTGCATGAAGACTCCTGGGGCATCTGTAAAAATGAAAATGCACAGCCTCCATAATTAGAATCTGTGGATGTGCACATGTGTGTGGTGTGTCAGCCCTTGGAATGGGAATTTTTTTTAATTTTATGTGTTTATGTGTATGGGTGTTTTGTGTACATGTATGGCTGTGCACCATGTCAGTGCCTGAAGAGGCCAGAGAAGGTGTTAGATGTCCTAAAACTAGAGTGACAGACAGTTGTGAGCAGCTATGTGGGTGCTGAAAATTATACCTGGGTCCTCTGGTAAAGCAGCCCACAGAGTCATCTCTCCAGCCTGGAATGCACATTTTAAATACACCCCGGAGTCTGAGAATCTCAGTTATGCGGTAGAGAACTTCATTTGGTTTCGTAACCTCTGCCCACACGTGGCATGTCCCTGAACTCTGTTTAAAATGCCAGCAGTGTCGCTCACTTCAGATTTATGCACGGTGCATGGAAATGGCTGTGCGTTTCTGTTTAAAGAATAGTTTTTGTTTGGATGTATTTTTTAAATGCTCTAAGGAAGGGGAAAATAAAATCAAGTCCTCCAGGAAAAAGAATCGCAGCACCAGGCCCTTGAAGGATAGACATGTCAGCATGGCAGAGGTTGACAGAGCCGCTGCAGTCTACCCATATTCATGTGGATTTGGAGTTGGGTAGAGAGAGTAGTCAAGGAGATTGCCAAAATAAGAGGCTCCAAAGATTGGCTCAGACCTAGCGGCCTTTGTTCCTCAAAAAGAAATGAAGAAGAAAGGGAAGTTTGGAGGTGAGGTCGCCCCTGAGAGGCATCTGGAGCAGGTAGCATTTGGCTCCTTCCGTCTGGAAAACCGGCCAAAAGTAACTGGACTGGAGCAGTGATGGGTGGATCGGCAAAACACAGCTCCCCTCCTGGAAGCTGCAGCTGGCTTCACAGTGGTGGAGTCTGGAAAGGCCTTGTGAAGTTAGAAAGAGTTCCTATGGTGCATAGCAAGGGAAGCCAAGGTTTAGTTTAGGGGCCTGCTACAGCAGCCTTGGAGAAGATATGAAATGCTAAATGTCCCTATGGTTTTCCTTGAAAGGTTATTCTGTGTCTAATCAGTGTTTTCTTCTTCAAGTGATCCAAGCACTCAGACCTATTTGATTTGAGCAACCAAGTGGTTGGTACTTAAATTGCAGGTTTTATCCTTTGGTAGAAAGAGATTCTTGCCCCTGTGCCTGGCCTGACAAATGAGATTGTATTTCCAAATAGAAGCTTCTAACTTAGCATGTCTTTACCACGCAAGTTCATGCTAAGATGAAATGTACACTGGAGCTCTTGAAAAATAAAAATATTCACTTGCAAAATGTGGTATGCTGAGAGCTGGTATTGACAGTTAATGTGCAATCAGATATTTCCTTCCCAGCGGGCGGACAGAATATCAAGCTACACACGGCTCCAGATTGCGAAGGACCAGCACCTTTGAGAGGAAGCCTAGCAAGCGCTACCCATCCCGGCGACATTCCACATTCAAAGGTTACTCGATGTTCCTTCCTTGCTGCCATTTTGCAGGAGGGCTTGGTGGGTCGGTTAGCAGAGAGGGAACTTACTGCCATTGGCCTCTGGTGTTTGAAAGCTGTTGGAAAAGAATGTCATGGAGCTCACACCCTCCAGTTTTACTCTTTCTCCCACTCAGTGTGCTTCTTTGCCTCTTCTTGTCTGTCTTCCTTCGAATGTGCCTCTCTACTTCTTTTAGGCTTGGATCCTCAACAGTATCACGTTTGCCCATAGAAGGTACTGCATCCATTGTCTCCACCGCCTTGCCATTCCTGGTGGGGACATCGGGCACATGCTAACCAGAATTGTGACCACAGAAGAATGGATGCAGAACCTGCAGAGACATAGTTCAGGTCCCCCATGGTCAGTCGAGACATGGCCATCCCTGAAAATAGCTGCACCCTGCTGTGCTACTCTCCTGCTCAGAATTCCCTGAACCTCATATCTCTTGCTGACTCCCACCTGTGTGAGGCCCGAGACCAGGATGTGCCAGGCAGTGCATGAGCCCTCCTGGCTCAATTCTGTTCCACTTAGGTTTCAGAATCTTAGCTGGAAGTTCCGTGTAGCTCATTTCTCTACACGGATTGGTCCTCTATCCAGCACACTCCAGTTAGCACTAAATTGTTTGTCCTTTTTTACAGCAGGGCCATTGCACCCGGCTCTGCCACCCTCCTAAACTTGCTGGGACTCTTCTGTACATTTTTCTTGCCTGGGATTTAATGGGCTTCTGTGGAACCCTGCTTATATACCTGTGCCTTTTAGAATCTTCCACCTTTGTCTCCCTCCACCCGTTTCCTTATGTTACAAGTCAACAGCACAGTATGATGACAGTCAACAGGTCTTAAGTCATCTTCAGCTGCTTTAGTGGGGGAAAAAAGAGAGAACTAGGGAGGATCCATGTCAATCACAGGGAGGGCTGTTTAAATCCTCGGATAAGAAGTAGGTAGAGTTCACGACTGCCTGGCTTGAGATGAGGGCTGTGCTCTGATAGAGAGGTCTGTCCAGTCATTCTCTGTGTGTTGTCATGTAGTGAATGTTTTTAAAGTTCTGCATAACTTCCCATCCTTTCTTTACAGCAAGCAACCCAGTGATTGCTGCTCAGTTCTGGTAAGTACCCCCAGATTTCCCAGCACAACTCTCCCCTCTAATTACCACTTGCTTCTTAATACAGTTAAATCCAAGTGACTGGCCTGATAACTTTTTTTTTTTTTTTTTTTCCTACTGCCTGGCTATACCATCCTCCCAGCTTTCAAAAAGCATGCAACAGAATGTTCCGGGACTTTCTTCTTGCAAAACAGCTATTTTGTTTGAGTAGCACAGTGCTTTGTTTGTTGTCCTAGTGGCAAGGTGGCAGGCACGCGTGCAGCACGTGCAGCAGGAAAGGGTGGGGAAGGAAGGACCTGCTGCTGAGCAAAGGTTCCACAGCAACAGGTGCTGCTTTGTCCAGTGACATGCAGGTGCTAGGAGACGTTAAACAGCACCGGAAGGGGTAAAGTGGGTAAAGGTGATTGCTGTGAAGGCCTTGAGATTTATGTTCAAACCCATATGAAGAGAGAACTGGCTCCACAGTGCTGTCCTCTGGCCTGACCTCCACACATGCCCCATGCCATGCACACGCATCATCCACATAGACATACGACAATAACAGATAAATAAGCTGCCTCAAGAGTTCCTGCAGGAGAATAATGTATCACAAGACTGAAAATCACCTGTGTGGAACTTTGCAAGCTTCTCATCAGGGAGCACATAGGAAACGTTTGGAATTCTAGGCTGTGACATCTCTTTCAGAGATGTTGCTAGGCTGTAGCACCACTGAAGCAGCTGTAGACAGTGTGCAAACGAATGAGCTTGGCCATGATTTAATAAAACTTTATTCGCAAGTGCCAGTCGGCCACATGTGGTCCATGGGTCCAGTTAGCTGCCTCTTCCCTGGCTTGACCTTGCTACCTGTGTCTGGAATTACCTGATGAGTTATGAAATGTCCCCTTTGGGCAGGACTGCCCTGGGCCACGTGAATACTTGTACACATGTAGGGACTTGGGCTTTGGTTTTTCCAGGCTTCCCTGGTAAGGTTGGCGTGGCTTCTGGGTGGGATCACTGTTCTACCTACTACCTCACCTTCTCTCTCCTATCTGAAACCACACTCTTTGTCTATAAGCATGACATGCCTGGATCGGCTGTCGTGAGAGAGAATAGTTGGTAGATAGATCATTGGCTCTAAACTGTAGGCTGAGGCCTCAAGGCCGAGGGGTTAAAGGTGGTGGTGGCCATTGAGATGGGTACAGATGGCCTGTGCTTTGTACGCTCATCCTGGCAGACAAGACATAAGATAAGGGACCTCAACTGCCATGGCTAGCATCTAACTTCAACCACAGGAGCCCTCTCCGTAACAGCTTTTCAAATGCATCCTGGAGCCTTTCACTTTCTACTTGTTATGCTTCCTTTTTTCTCATTTGCAGGCAAGGAGCTTGGACTAGGTTGCTGTTCTCCCCCAGATTTTTTAGCTTGTGGTTTTTATACTCTCCCACCATCCCCAAGAAGCCTGACTTAAAAGCAAATAAAAGAGACAGAACCAGAGAGCTTTTGTGGGTAGGGAATGACCAAGGCCCCATTGGCTTCCTCCTCACTTCAGGAGGCACTGAAATCCCTTCAAAAAACCTCAGATTCTAGAGAGCAAAGTTAGCAGAGCCTCGGGTTCCAGGGTGTTTGCAAGGACATGCTGGTCTGGTCATGCCATCTGCCTTCTGCATCTAGTAAAGGGTGGGAGAATCCTCTTGAACTGCTGCCCATTGCTCCCTGTGGTGGGGGATATGGGGTGTGTACAGTGTTCTCAGGTTGGGTAGTTGTAGACCTGCAGGTGTGCCCTCTGTCTTGTGGGGTCTCGGGCAGTAAGGGTCCCAGCAGGTAGAGGGCTGAAAACTGGTGGTCTTTTCAGCCTGTCAGGTACTGCTTTTAATTCTCAGGGGATTGTAGTAAGCTACAGTGTTTCTTGCTTTCTTAGGAGATGATTGTTTTGTTTGTTTGTATTTCCCTGATAAAGTGGCATTTCCCTCTTAGAATCTAGGGGAGATTATTTATCAGGAATGAAAACAAACATTAAAAAAATCGCCACACACACAAAAAAAGTGTCAGTAAATATACCCTTTAGGAACAAATGAGCTAATAACCGCTGTTCGCAGCTGTTCAATTGCTCTTCCCAGCCTGTGGGATCCAGGGTGAATAGATTTGCTGTGGGGACCATGGATGAGGTTGTGCTGGGAACCACAGAGGTACTGCAGGAAAAAAGAGCACCTTGTGGGACACATTATCCACCTGCTGAGATTCAGCCTAAGTGGTCTGGCTCAGAGCCTGGCATCACTACCAGTCCTTTCTGAAAACTAAATGCAGACCCAGTGTAAGACTCAGAACAAAGATGCCCCACCCACCCTGGTAGAGAGACAATAAACCTAGCAACAGTGACTGACTGCCCAGTGATTGTTCTGGGGTTGTAAGGGGTTCTGGCAGGCATTGAGTTTGCATCTTATACAGCAAATGCTCTCTCTTTCTCTCTCCCTCCCCCCCCTCATATGCATATATGTTTATATATTTGCCAAGTTAGTTCTCATTAAGATTCTAATCATATTAGATCACACTTGAGCTCTGCACTTTTCCACAGACCCTCCAAGAACCAGCTAGATTTGGTGGAAAGAAAACAGGTTTGGGTCTGAGCAGATGTGGAGTCAACCCTGGCGCAGCCATTGACTGGCCAGTGATTCTTAGTAGGTTTCCTAACTCTGCCTGAAGCAACTGTTTTTTGCCTGTGAATTGAGGTGGATTGAGGTAGTAGGAAATGTCATGGACTTTTGTCACCCTGCTATGCAGAGGCTTGACTTGAATGAACACTCACCACTGTGTCCAGATCAGCAGCAGTGAGTATCATCATGTGCTAGGGACTCATATGATTCCTACCACAGGCACTGTGGTAGGTGTCTCCAAGAAGCTGATACCTGTCCCTCCTCCAGCTGCAAGAAACTCTGTGTCTGTGCCATCACTAGAGATGTAGCCTATGGGGCAGTGCATGGGGTGGGGGGGTGGGGGTCATGTGCAGTGGGAACCGAAGCCACTTGGTTTGCATTGCTGAAAGGTGACCCAACTTTGTCACAGCTGCACTTTGGCATCTTACCAGGGTGTTTATGCTGGTGAGTCTTAAACTGGTGAGTGAAAGTTGGTGCTTGTGGCTTCCTTTGTTATATGCTTATATATGTTCATGTGAGCTCTAGCAACCAAAAAGGGATGGTTTGCAGCCATCACTAATGGAGCAGGGAGTTTGTAGGATTAGTCATGGTTGTTAAATAGATCCATCATAATGTCTCCTAACAACTGGTAAAACGATGTTTTCTCTTCTTCTTTTTAGCTCTAAAACAAATCCTGAAGTCCATAATTACCAGGTGAGATGCTGTGTTTGAGATGCTTCTTAAAGTTTCTGAATTTTGTTCGATGAACAGTATGCAGTGACAACATAGGCTTGTTAGGTTTGGGTTCATTCCTCTTGTTGTTTTCCAGAAAACTCTAAAGGACAGTTCCTCCCGCCTTGACCTCTGTTCTCTCCCAGTCATGTCAAGTGCCCATTTGTAACCTTGTTAACCTGCAAGTGCCAGGGGCATGGAGTGATATTTCTGCTGGTCGGGGCTTGTAGTGATGTTTTTCTGTTGGTTAGACACTGCCTCTCAGCGCCGCTCAGGCACATGCTTTTGTGAAAGCATGCCTTGGGCCTGGGGAATGCAAGCCCTTGACACAGGCATCCAGATGGCCGGCTCTGCTTCTCCTCTGTTTGTCTTCTTAGACTTGACTTTGCCTGTTGGGGTCCTAAAGTACTAAGGAAACTTGCAGGAAGGGGATTTTGTTTGTGTGTTTTTTCGAGACAGGGTCTGGCTCTGGCTGTCCTGGAACTCAACTGTGTAGAGCGCTGAGTTCTGCTCCTCGTGTGCTGGGATTAAATGTGTGCACCACCACACCCAGCAGATGGTTTTTGTTTGTTTGTTTTGCTTTGCTTTGTTTTTGTTGGTCCTTCTCCCCCAGCCCCACACCAATGGAGGCATCATTTACTTCTAGAACCCATTTGTCAAACACCAGACATATTGCATTCAGTGTCCATATCCAGTGTTGTGTTATTTCACAGCAGTGCCAGGCGGGACCCATGCCTCCGGCCTGCCCACCCAGGACTGCCAAAGCCTTCTCAGTAGCCAAGCCTGTAGTGAGCCCGCCACTCCACAGCTGCTGTGGATTGCCCTCTCTGGGTTTCCACAGCCTGTCCTGACTTCTTATGTCCCTTCCCAGTGTTCCTGACATGAGCCTGTGTTCAGCTTCCAGGAGCTGTAGGGTAGCTGCCTTTAGGTTCCTGCCAGTGCTTCTCTGCCCGCGCTCACCTGCCTGGGGTCCTTTGCCCCTTATCCGCTTGTGGCAGTGTCTTTCACATTTGTACTCCACAGTCCACTCTTCCATCTTTCTGTAAGTTGGAAGCTCCCAGCTCCACTGGGATTCAACCCTGTGCACTAAAACTCTGTGGCCAGCATTAAAAGAACAAGCAGCATTTCAGTCTCAAGGAGTAGGACCTTGTCATCCCTAGACCTCAGAGGTCCTAAGGTACAGACAGTTGGGAACTCTAGGAGGGTGCCACGGGCCTTGCTCCCCAGGCAGCCATTTGTTTCTGCTTGATGGCAGAGACCCATGTCTGCTGGCTTCTAACTTCTGGTGCTATGACAGAATATCCATCACTGTGCGCTTTATAAAGCAAAATAATGTCATTTAATTTATGGCTTTGAGGATTCAAAAGTGTAGTTCTAGCCTCCACTCAGGGCTGGTGATGGATTTGTGACATAAGAGTAGGGGAGTGTATGTGGAGGAAGAGATTCCATGGTGAGATGGGGCCACGGCAAGACCAGAGCGGGGGTGGGGGCTGTACTGTTTTTCTCGGGAGAACTAACCAGGGTCCCTCTGAAGACCCCAAAGACCCAGTCACCTTCCACAGGATCACACTGTTAACCAACCATGTCCTGGGCAAGTGTCTGAAGCACGCTGCCCTCCCAGTGTCTGTCCCCTGATGTTTGGCTGTGAGTGTCTCAAGTGACAATGCTGTTCCACAAACAATTTCAGTTTGAAACTTTATTCTAATTGTCCCCTTCCCTGGTCTTCCGCTGTGGTAGGTACCACTTCCGTAGGTGACCAAGATGCCCATGTTTGTTATCCTTAGGAGGTTCCCAGATGGTTTCTGAACAACTCCTAACATACAGAGTGAGAAAACGGGGCTTTGGGGTAGAAGGGACTTAGAACCTGATGGAAAGAAAATCACTTCGCCTGTCATCTTCCTTAGGGTCCTCCTCGGGCTTCTTATTCACATACTGCTTTTTGTTCAGGGATGTCGGTGCAACTGGGTTGTCATAGGGAGAGAGAAAAGCTGCTGCTGGGCAACCAGTGCCTGGCAGAGAGAGAATGAAAGCAAAGAAAGAAAACAGCCCACCTGCCGTGACCCCTGCCCTCTTCTGCCTCCTCAGAGCATCCTGCTGACAGTGAGCCAGGGCTGGCACTGCAGACATGGACCTCTCCATATTGTCACTGGGAGCCCCTTGTACTCAACCAGTCTCAGTGGCCCTGTGTTTCCCTGTCCAAGTTTGGATACAAGTGGCCTGATCACATCGTGATGCTGTGAAGGACTGTGGGGAAGGTGGCATTAGCTCATTCTGCAGAGAGGACGGGCTGCCATGTTCCTAGTGAGGACACTTGTCATTTGAGATGGGACAGTCCTTCGTTGTCCCAGGAATTCCAGTAAATTTGCCCCCCCCCCTTTTTCTGTTATTGTGACAAGCAAAGAGGTACAAATATATCCCTCATCGTTGCCGGAGCGCCCGAGTTAATGTTAAAGTACTTGAGACTGTAGAATGTGAATTAGTTAACAGACGGTATATACCAACGGTGGTTATGGAATCTCAGTTTTTTTGTGTCTGTGGATGACATTTCTACCTCGTTGGTGAATCTGGGCATTTTTAAAAACATAAAAGACTAGAGGATCCAGTTGTAGGGTAATCTTTCGTCTTTGTTGGAGACTCGGCGCAGGGAGCCTGGGAGTGACTGGCTTTGGGAAAATCACCTGAACCCTGTGGGCTTCAGTATCCCCTAAAAGAAACCAAGCTGAGGAGATTGCACCACGCCAGTCCTCAGATCCCCCCTGCAGACCTACCCCTACAGTCTCCACTTCCCATACCGTGCTTCTGGGGGTGCAGCCTCAGCTTGCTGACAGGTGCTTTTAAGGAGAAAAGAAAGACTACTGGAATACAGAATAGGCAGCATGAGAGCATCTCAGGGCCATGAAAATTGGATGAATAGAATTGCTGAGAATTTCTGTAACAGAAAGCAGGCCCCTGCTTATTAACCACAGCAGCGGGGGTAAAGAGGAGGAAGGGAAGAAATAATTAGAAGATTAATGGTGGTGTGATTTTGGACTTTCAGGTCGTGGCCAGTGAGGTTGGGGGGTCAAATTTGCCTCATAGCTAGTTTAGCCTTGAGAAACCCCATGGCTTCTGACAGTGTCTAGGGCTACTGCCCTCTGCAGGTGAGAAGTGGGATGGCAGCTGGCTAACCTGCCAGGCTCCATCCAGCTTAACACTGGTCTACTTTCTTTTCTTCTTATGAACAGCTTCCCACCCTCCTTCCTTCAGTCCATCAGTGTGTCCCTCCGGTCTCATCAGAACAATATGTCTTTCTGAGGATACTACCATTTATACACCCACCTCGTAATTCATTACCTTGTCCTTCCATCCCTTGTCTGTGTGCCAGCCTAACTTAGCTGTTACCCAGGCCTGTCGTCATTTCAAAACCAACAGAAGTGTCTTCTGAAGAGGGAAGCCACTCACCCATCTTCCTGGCACTTGCTTCCTTGAGAGAGGTGTTGTCTGACCAGGACATTCTGGGTAGCCTCCTTTGAGTCAGATGTGGTACCTTGCCTCCCAGCCTCTTTTCTGGAGATGGTATTTGGTGAGCCAGACACTGGGTTCCAGCTCCCCCAACCCCCAGCCTTTGTTAATGGGAGAAACAAGATCACCCTGGGAAAGGTCCAGCCGTACCCAGGGCTTGGTTACAGCTCTCCTATTCACAGCCCCTTGCCTCCCCAGGTGGGTCCATGGCAAGAGATAGCAAATGACAGGCAGCCATTGAAATCCAAAGGTCACTGAGTAATCAAGTTTGGTGTTTCCTTTCCAGCCTCAGTGCCATCCTAATGTCCACCCCAGCCAGCCCCGGTGGCGTCCCCACTCTCCAAATGTCAGGTGAGTTTGGGAACTTATGGAGCCCTGCTTTGGGAAGGTTTCTTGTCCTCTGCAAATCCCCACTCTAAGCTGCAGGCACATGACCCCTCAGGGTGGCATGACCAGGGCAGAAACCGATGCTTTTCAAAGCAAAGAAGCAAGTGACCAGTCTTTGTAAAATAACAGATTTAAAAAGAAAAAAACCTAACCTCAAAATGTTTTTTTTTTTTTTAATCAGAGATAGTGCTTAAGATTTCCAAGTTAACATTTCTTTATTCTGAGAATTTACTTTCTTGGAATGTGATTAAAGCTTGGAGATTATGGTTTTTTTTTTTTTTTTTTTTTTTTAAGGGTTTTCACCCCTTAGGAATGAGAGCACTCTGTGCTTTGGTGGCAGAGGGCCTTTTTTTCTTCTACTTCGAGGATTATTAAACTTTTTCAGCAAAGGAGAGTCTATGTTTTCAGCTTTCTGGTCATTGTCTGAAGACAGCCACAAGTAGGGAGGACTCGCATAAGAACGCATGATCATATTCCAGTGAAACTTAATTTACAAGAAAGCGGAGTTTGGCCTGAAGGCTATCAGTGTCTCCTGACACTGCCCTATGAGGGACCTGGTACCTGCCATGCTGCTCGGAGTCAGGGTGACCCCTGGGGAGCAGACGTGTCCTTAAGATTTGCCTTTTTGATGAGTCTTAATTGGCATTTATGTGTCCAGCTATTTCAGAAGCACAGTTGGTGAATTGGGGGTGACCAAGGTGGAGCTGTGGACCTTGCTCCTTGAGGGAGTGTGGAGAATCGAGTGGTAGGAAGAGATGTGCCTTGAGCAGAACATTTGTCAGGGCCCTTGTAACATAGCAGTGCAGTCCATCATCGTTAACACTTTGATATTCATGTAGTATTTTAGGGCAAGTCAAGTCAGTGGAATCATAATTCTACATCTTCACATGGTTCAAATGTAGTTTATTTTTCAGACATTACAGGTGGCTGAGGCTTAGAAGGGCCATTGTCCTGTTAACAGTGGTTTAAGCAGATGTCATATCTAGTATTGCCTATTTTGTCAGAGTATTTTCCCTCTGTAGCATAGATGCCCTAATCTCCTCTTCACCCAGAGGCAGCACACTTTCCCACTGAGGTGACCCTGCTGATGCCACAGCTCAGTCACATCCCAGATCTGTAGCTGAAACCAGGTGGCACCCAGCACTCCCTGTGTTCTAGAGCTCTCTAGAGTTGCATCCTGAGGAGAATTGATTGGTCCACACTTGTGGCAGATGCCATCCAACACCATCACCTTGCACATCTGGTTTAAGGAGGCTCTCCTCTCAGCTAGCTTTCCTTGGACTGACCTGACCAGCACATACCCCTTACAAAACCATGATTTAGCCAGAAACAGAGCTTTTATCAACATCAAAGTTGGTCGATGACCACACAGGAGTTTTTAAAATCCTGAAATTACCAGGCCACTCGTGTGCCAGCCACCCCACTCATTCTTTCCCCCACCATTTCCTCTGTGGGTGTGTGGTTGGCCTCTCTCCTTTCTGAATTGTCTTCCATTCTCCCAGTAACCATTCCATCTGCAAACAAAACAGGCCGTCTTTTCAGGATGACAGGCCACACTGGAAAGCCTCAGCCAGTGGAGATGACAGCCACTTTGACTATGTCCACGACCAGAACCAGAGGAACTTGGGAGGGGCCTACAGTGTCACGTACCGGGACAAACTCATGACTGCACTTTGAGAAACTGAAGCGCCTTACTTCCAGTCATTACCATGGTGTCCTTGCGTTCCATGAGAAGCATCCTGGTGTCACATGGACGTGCTCGCACAAGTGTTGTTAAGTAGTGCTTTTAGTGTCCGTGTCAACATTTGAAGATAACTGACATAGGTAGTCATGATTTACTGTGGACTGCGTCTCCAATAAAATGAAGGTAGCTAAAGGCTCAGGAATCATTTTGATATTCTGATTTTAAAACTAAAGTGAAAGTTTCTGTCATTATGCTATGTACCTGATAATCTTGTTTAACCAGTGGGACCACAGAAAGCAAACCAACAAACAGAATGTTTGGGGAAATAGCTTGGCACATAGTACTGTTGTAGGTTTGGGGATTGCCTGGGTCTGGCCTCCATTGCTGTGTGACCTTGGCTAAGTTATTCCCCTTTCAATGGTTTCATTTCCTTCCTGAAAATAATGGACGGGACTAAGTGATCTCCCAGGTCCTTTCTGTTCTGTGATTGATTAAAATTTAACTTCTCGTCTGTGCTGAAAACATGCATTCAGAATAACTTCCCATAAAGACAACCGTAATACCCCTTCTGTAACAGAAGCTCGATAAAGATTATAAAACTCATCAGATACAGCGTCAATACAGGGAGACTTGGAATCTTGCACCTTTCAGTGGGTTAGCAGGTGTGGACTTAAGCCTCAGTGCTAGCACCAGCTGCATAGCACGTTCCACTGGAGTTTACGTCTCAAATATAAGAATGATTTGTAATACCTTAATGTTTGGTGCTGCTAACCCATGTGATTTCAGAAGATGTCATTGTGACTACTGTCAGGATTGAGGCTGGGTTTCACTCGAGATTTAACTTCTTCAAAAAGCAGCGTGCAGTTGAGATGAGTTGAGGGTGCACATGAGAGCCTGCCAGGTTTCTGGAGGCTGTGCCAAAGCAGTTGTTGCCCAGAGGGATGCATGTGGCCCCTTCCTTCTGTAGATCCCCAAAGTGTCTTTTAGGGTGATACTTGTACGAAAATATTTATTTACACCATTTCAAGTAGCATACCAAACCTCTTTTTCTCTTAATAGGCAGCCCCAGGATGCTCTTTCATTTGTGTTTTTGTGCAACTGAGTTAATTTCATGTCTCTTGGATATATGTGGTTATAATTTGGTTCCTTTTAAACCTTTGAACACGTGTTAACATCTTCTCTTGGTAAAATCTGGCCTTTTTGGTTCTACAAAGTCTCTTGAGGAAGGAGTCCTCTGCACACTTGCACAGGGTAGTGGACCGCCTTCTTATCAACAATGCCCCCCCCCCAGATGCTTGTTTACGGGTGTTTTCTGATCCCCAGGGTATGTACTGCATCTGAATAAATGTGTTCTGATCTCTTCATCATCTTAACTGCTAACATTTTTACAATGTGTCTGCAAGTAATAAAGATTATTACTTTTTTCTTTTTTGGACTCCATCTTCATTTCATTGATAGTTTTGCACAGAAGTCTCCCTTGGATGTCACTCATGGGGCAGTTGACCCCGGGTATCCGAAGGGGAACCTTGAGTTAAGTGGTATGGGACGAGACCATCCTGCACTGAGGCTCTTCTGGGCACAGTGACTGAGGTGTTCTTTCATCTGGGCCCACTCTGGCAGAGGTTGTAACACCTGGCCCTAGGTGGTAGCAGGGTGTTCCTGATAACAGTCCCATGGTGAAGGGCACATATCCTCATGGTCACTTACCTCTTCCTGGCTGTGTCTGTGGCCCTTTAAAGATGATTCAGTCCCCTCAGTAAGCCTTTCTGTTTACCTTGATGAGGGCACTCAGCTGCTTACATAGGATATTCTGACTGGGGTGAAGTGGACCTTTATCTACTGCATGGTGACTTTGTTCTCGAAATCGTATCTTCCTGTTCCTATTGGACATTGCTTTCTCAGGGGTCTCTTCTCCGCTCACTACTATTTTGCATGTAACCAGTCTGGAGTCACCTCATTCTGTCACATTTTATAATGCTGCTGACTCTGAAAGCCATCATCTTCAACTCAGACTATTTATGGGCTGCTGAATTGTCACTTCAATGTGGGTGTCCCATGTATAGTCCAAACTCCACCTGGCAAAGAAGCCAAGTTTATCTTCGACCACCTCCCCTGGAATGCACAACGTTCTCCCCCTCAAGGTACCCTTTGCCACAGCTCTTCCTTCTCTTGCCTCCCAGACCCAGGCAGTCCACGGTTCTACTCAACGTTGCCTCCTTCACGACTCTTCCTGAGACTGTCTTGCAGGAATGTCTTCCCCCTTGACAGAAGTGCCCTCTCTGATCTCTATGACCCTTGCCAAGCTCACTCTTGTCTTTCTGCAGCCATATCTGATTGTGTCGTCACAGTGCTGGGCACGCTGCCTCTGTCTCTTTGCTCTAGCGTATTCCATCCAGACCCTTCGCATTTCTGAGAAAACAGTAATGCCAAACTGCATGCGCCATGCCTCATGACTATGCCTTTGCAAATGCTATTCTTCCCGTCTAGATCTCTTGTCACTCCCAACTCCTGCTTAGCCTTTAAGCCTCCGCTCAGACGTCATCTTCCCCGGGGACTCTCTTGACAGCCCCCACCTCTGCAAATTGGGTTAATTTCTGTGTTCTGTGTTCTACTTCTGCCTCCCCCTTCCACCCCCAAACACGGGAACATTGTACTCACAAGTTTGTATTAAACAGCCTCCTTTGTTCATCTCCTCTTGGAGCCTTAGCCTCAATACGAGAGCTGTGCCTTTGTTCTCCAGTGCCTGACAGATAGGTGCTCACTGGGTGTCTACTCCGAGAGTAGATTCATTCCACAGGGAATTTCTAACCAGGTAACAGGCAAATGATACATCATCTCTGTTCTGGTCTGAAGGGTTCTGGTTTACCACATGCAGTCTGGAGCATCACATGTTGAGTAGGACACAGACCCCCGCATCATTTGTGGACACTGTTCAGTGTGTCTCATCTGAAGCATTGGTGTAATGTTGAGTAGGGCAGAGGACCAACTAGCCATCTGACATTGAAAACCCCATTAGGTGGATAGTGATGTACAGTCACACAGAGGGGTTAATGACCAATTTCATGCTCCGTGTGAGTCACTTTCTTATCTTCCTCATCATTCTGCAAGGTGGTTAGTATGGTGTTGTTACTAATAGGGAGGCTCAGGACCAGTTCAGTGAAGTCGTACCTATATATCTATCATACAAGAGATAAATGCCAGCCTCTGGGCTCTCAGGACTCATTCCACTGTCATCATCTGCATCTCAGTGAGACTACTAGACGTACTTCTGTTCACTACA